GTTAACTCTGCGGTATGTTTGTATTCCTTACCGAGGGCAGTGGCCAGGCAGAGGTCATGGGGTGGGAGGTGCTGGGATATTTTGGCTCTCTCGGGGCTTGCCAGAAGAAGGGAGATCCTTTCCTAAGCTGCAAACTGGGCTGGGATCGGAGCCGCTCACCCTGCCGTGAGCCCCGCACCTCCCCCGGGGCACAGCTGGAGCACGGCCAGCTGTGGAGGGAGCAGGCTGTATCCACACGCTGGAAACCATGGAAAAGCTGAGCCGGCACAGGGTGTGGGGTTGTGTTCCAGGAGCTGAATGATAGAACTAGCCAAACAAGTCCAGTGTTTGCCTTGCAAGGGGATGGGTCCCAAAACAGTGGTTTTCTGCTCCGGATCTTAGAGGTAGGACTGGAAATACATCTGTGAGCTCAAACTTCGGGAACCCCCCCTGTGTTTCTATACTGTTACGGTGCTGGGAGCTGTGTGTGTGCTCAGTGCAGTCAGGAGCACTGGCTTCAAAGCAAGCCTAGGTTGGAAGTGGGCAGCACACATGATAGTTTCGGCTGCCTTCTGATAAATAAGGTTTATTCTGGACTCAGCTTTTAGAGGAGATCGATGGGGACTTGTAAGTGCCTGGTTAGCTGATAGGGCCTGCCAGGAAGCAGTCATCCATGGGAAAGATTTGCCTAATGGGAGGAAAGCCTCATGCACCTGCACTCTGGCATCTGGGCGCAGTGTTCTGGGCCTGTTCTAAGCCAGGTTTACTGTACTGTGGTTGTGCATCCCTCCCCCTCTCTCCCAGACCCAAGAATTCCTGTTAGCCTTCGCACAAGTGCATGGAGTTGGATGGCTGGGAACCCCCTGACCATTAATTCTCATCACCCAACAAGGGTGGGAAGGGCCACGCAGTGACAGGAAGGGTGGATCTAGTTATCTCCCTGTGTGTGGGACGCCCCTCAGAGCCCCCAGACTCTCCAAGTTTAGGAAATAGGGGGATCAGCTGCCTGGGCTGTTCCTGCTGCTCCCTGACACTCAACCCTGCAGGGAAAGCTGATGTATGTTATCAGTATAGGATAAGTATTATGCTACACTTTCCACTGCACCCAAGGGAAATAGTTAACATTCAAACATGTATATATGTCTATAATCTGTATATCCATCTATCTCCATCTTAGCGTGTTAGTTTAGGTACTTACTTGTGAATACATGTACATTAGATTCAATAATGAAGTGTTAGAAATCCTGTGATTCATTTTAACAATAGAAACTGCTGCTAAATGACATTTGTCATCTTTTAGACGTAAACCGTTGGCCAGGGCTGGGACTAAACCTGGGTTCACCCAGATTCTTCTCTTAGAGCAGGTTTAGGAAGCAAAGTGGTCTAATCTGAACCTCATGGCTCAACAGGAGGGTCTCCCTTATTCCTTTGTATTTTCAGTTTCTGTACACATCATTTCAATTCAATTCTGTATAAATCACTTCTGTATAAATCATTGCCAGTTCTGACACAATCTTTTTGTTTCTGGTAGAGTGAACCTCGCCATTAAATCCTGTTTATCAATTTCTATTAAAATTACTTTTGTTAGTATCTCTGACCTTAAACCCTCTGGTTTCCTGATGGGTATCAGCAAGCTCAGGCCTTTACTGTGGGTTGAAGCAAATGCCATGAGGACAGGGATTAGCCAGGACACCTCAGCACTTTCTAGCTGACTCTCTGCATGCATAGTTTAACTCTTCAAAACACAGGTGAGTGTTGTTCCTATCCTGAAGCTGGTTTGTCCTATTTGAGCTGCAGGCCAGGAACTGTGTTAAGCTGACAAATCTGGCTTTATCTTCTTCATACGATGTTTAAGCTGGATGAAGAATTGGAATCTTACAGTCAAGATTCTGTTGTGATGTGATAGTGCAGGAGCACTTGCCCTATAACCAGCACACCCATCCTTTCCTCATGTGTTGGTTTCTTTCTGCCAACTCATTTGGATACAGGATTTTTCTGCCTCCCACTTCTTTTTCCTTGTTTATTGACCTTTCTAATCCATAAACCAGGCTGTCAAATATTCCTGCTCCTGTGTACAAGCCAAGTGAATGGTAAAACCACATCAGGAAAACATCTGTGAAATTCAGAGCCACTATTTAGTGTCTGGCTAAAGCAAACAACGTTGGGTTTATACTTCTGTAAAAGATTAGAGAAGAGCAAAGATGACTTTTCCGTGGTCTAGGTCAGGTTTTGGCTGCTGACATCTCTCACCAAGTGAAAGAAAGCACCACTAATATCTCAACACTAATAACTTCCCATACGTTGCCTGGTCGCACAGGGTGTAATAAGGATGACCTAGAAAGCACTTGGGAGTGCCTGTGTGTAACACATCCGTGGCAAATGTCACACTGAGCTAACCTGCCTGAACTGCACCCTCCCAGTGTATCCTGGATTTGTAAGAGTCATGTGGAGCATGAGCAAAGACACTCCTGTTCTTGCACAACCGTCTGGGCTCCTTGCTACCAGCCCTTAAGCACCACGAGCAGGATTAAGGAGAGATGTCATCAGCCACTGGCATCACCCTTCATGGCAGAAGCTCTGCTCATGCTGTGCTGAATCTGAGTTGCAGGGAAGTGAACCTTGTCTTGGTGCTATCAACAGACCAGGGATATGAGGAAGTGTGTTCGTGTGTAGGCCCTATGCATGAAAGCCAAACCATAAGCAGAAAAGATAACCCTGGGGAGATGGCAAGAAAGGGTTTGTTTCTTTTTTGAGGGCTTTAACAGTCAAAGCTGCAGCCCTACAAGGAATTACACACTGCAGCAAGCTGAGGAAGGGTTGAATGCAGCAGATTTTAGGATAGATGGAAGATAGTTCTCCCATCCCACTTCTCAAGTGACGTTATCCTTTGCATGCTCATCTACACCCGGGTGCTGTCTCTGCCTCCCAAGGAGTGTGTGTGAAGGCTGTCAGGACACCCTCACCCTTATTCACCTTTATCCTGGCAAGGTCAAAGCCATGTGTTTTGGAGGCCCTGGGAATTGAGTCTCTCTGCTCCCAGGGCAATGTTATCTCCTTCTCCTTGTAGCCTCAGCCAGGCTGGCACACCAGTGATAGCAATGTCTTAAATCTAGTGCTGGTCATCTGCTTGTGCACCACATCCCCCCTTCAGCCAGGGCTGTTGCAAGCAGCCTTTGTTCAGTAGGAAGGAGGGCTGGAAACACAGGGATGCTGCTATGGGAGTTCAGGTGTTGCTTTTAGTCCCCAGAGGAACCAGATGGTCACCGAACCAGCCCCATTAACTGGCAAGAGAAGGTATATTCTATTAATTATTTGCTAGAAAACTAACACTCCTTGTTTATTACAGTTGTCAACTGCGGGGAGACTCAGACAGAAACAGCCTGACCCCATCTGAGAGCCATGGTGAGTGTGTGTGTTCTGTGCCATGCTGCGCCAAGCAGTTGCTCTCATCAGATAAAACATGGGGAGTGTAGCTCAGATAAGGACACAGCAGGAAGAACACTATCACTGTTCCTTTAGGGGAAGGGGAGTTGATCACTTCTCTCTGCTTCCTTATTCTAGAGGAGAATGACCCACACAGTTGGGTTTTTCCTGTTTGGGAGTTAATGGAAAATCCAATCAGATATTAATGGATGAATTTCTCCAGCTAAACTTCCTGGTTATATTCTTCTTTCCAGGTTCAAGCTGCAAGGTAGTTACCCTGTTTCAGAAAGCCTATCCTAGAGGAATATTAAGCAGTGTTTTGGTGATGGTTTTCAGGGAATATTAAGAGCTTTGGAAGTGTAGTCCCACAGAAATGGCACTGGACAGGAGGCAGGAGAAACCTGCTTGTGAATCACTGCTCTGAGTAAAACACTGTGCTTCCTGGTACCTTATGGTACAGAATGATGGTTGCTCTTGGAGAAGTCGGGAATAGGGCTTTGATGGGAACAGCTTCATCTATGATTTGCATGGAAAACTGCTGGGAAGAAGCCCCAGCCAGACTGAACAGAGATGACAGGCTGCTTGCCATTGTCTCCTTGGAAATCAGATACTCTGTGGGCAGCAAATGAAGATGTTTTCTCCTTTTAGCTGTGTCCCAGCAGCTTATTTCTTATATGGCTGGGAAGTCCCTCTAGAACTGTCTCTTCTTAGGAATTCTGGTATAAAATCAGTCAGGTTTGGTCAGTGGGCTTCAACTGGAAAGAAAGGGGTTTTTAAACTCAACTCTACTATGTGTATGTCCCTTTGAGTCTGTCTTTCATAACTCCTCTCCTGTGGGTTTAGGCAACAATCAAGGGGGCCTCAAGCTTCAGTGCTGAGCAAGAAGCACAGGCACTAAGGAAGGCTATGAAGGGATTTGGTAAGTTGGTCTCCCTCCACAATTCAACCTCTATTATTCCCCAAGCATTGGGAATGTTTGTCTGGTGGTTTGGTAGAGGGGAAATCCAGCCATTTTCATTGCCCCATCAGGGCACCGAAAGGAATTGAGTTGCTTAAACCCAACTGGAAATCCAAGTCTTGGCCACAAAACCATCCTTAGTCATGCTCTTGTCTCTCCTGTGGTGTGGCACTGCCATACTACTGGTTGAGGCACTTCTGTGCACTGATCTAGTCCCCAGTGCTGTTGAGAACCAGTTGTGTGAGGAAAAGAAGATGTCGAGAACCAGGTCGTGTAAGGAATGGAAGCTTAGGACTAATGGCACACTCTGGACAAGACCAGACCATGCATCTGGTTCTTGTGCAAGCAGCTTGACTGGTTTGCATTGCTCTCTTCCAGGCACAGATGAAGATGCCATCATTGACACCTTGACCAAACTAAACATTTCCCAACGTCAGCAAGTTCTGATCACGTATAAAAGCACTATTGGCAGGGTAGGTGGTCTTCAGACATGGGTGTCTGTGGCTTTACCTGGGAGATGGAGGCATTCTGGGGTTATACCACTTGGGTGAAATGTGACCAACCTCCTAATTTCCACAACAGTAAGGTCAGCACAAGCTTTTCCTGGCCAAGTTTGTTTTGGCCTTGTTCTCTTCAGAGCAGCTGTTCATCCAGGGCATGTTGGAGCATGAAGACAAGTGGTCAGTGAGTTTGTCCTGTTCCCAAAGGCTGTTTGTCCCAGCTCATTTCTCTTCTCTCCATGTTTTAGGATCTGATTGATGACTCAGTGAGTTTGTCCTGTTCCCAAAGGCTGTTTCTCCCAGCTCATTTCTCTTCTCTCCGTGTTTTAGGATCTGATTGATGACCTGAAGTCTGAGCTGAGTGGGAACTTTGAAAGGGTCATCGTTGGTATGATGACTCCTGCCATCATGTACGACGTGCGTGAACTGAGGAGGGCTATCAAGGTTTGGGAAGCTCCCTTTTCTGTTGCTTTTTCTAGTCAGTTTAGCATGCTATGCCATAATTATACATTTATTAGTGTTCACTTCTATACCATTAGAAAAATACCCTAGTGGCACATCAAACAGTTGTCATAATGCTCTTGGATCTTGTCTTTGTGACTCCCTAGGGAGCAGGAACAGATGAAGGTTGCCTGATTGAAATCCTGGCTTCTCGCTCAAACGAAGATATTCGGCGCATTAATGAGAACTACCAACTTGGTACGTGGTGCACGCTGCAAACCATCACCATACTGCCTGAGGGCACTGGTGTGCATGCATGGGCATGGGGAGGGGAAGGAGAAAGGTCTGATGGCCTTTAAATGTGACAAACCAGCAGATAGAAATATTGCCATTTGTCCAGAGAGAACCTCTGAGTTAAACAAGTGTCGGCAGCAGGACTGCTAAAGCCTCAAAGGTCAGAATTTCACCCAGAAATTGAATTGGCCTGAATAAAATGGGATGGAGCAGGGTGGTGATTGTCCCCCTCACTGCAAGAGAGACATTGAGGTGCTGGAGCATGGCCAGAGAAGGGCACCAGAGCTGGAGCAGGGCCTGGAGCACAAGTGTGATGGGGAAGGGCTGAGGGACCTGGGGGGTTTAGTGTGGAGAAGAGGAGGCTCAGGGGGGACCTTATCGCTCTCTGCAACTGCCTGACAGGAGGATGGAGCCAGGAGGGGGCTGGTCTCTGCTCCCAAGGAACAAGGGATGGGACAAGTGCTGGGTTAATGGTTGGTCTTGATCTTAAAGCTCTTTTCCAACCTAAACAATTCTATGGTTCCAAGATGTTTAGGGCCCTGAGCAGACTGATGTAGTTACCTAGCTTACAGCTGGCAGATGTTGTGGACAAACGCTGTCCAGGTGGTGGACCTGTTCCTAACAGATGGCATCTGTGTGTGCTTTTGCTAGAGTATGGCCGTACTCTTGAGGAGGACATTGTCTCTGACACATCTTCCATGTTTCGAAGAGTCCTCGTGTCCCTCTCGACGGTAAGTCCCAGCTAAAGGAAACAGGGAATCTTCCTGTTGCTGATTAATGTGCCTCTCCCTTCAGTCCAGAAGCTGGTTTAGGCTGGCTTTTATTTCACTTACCTTGCCTTTCACCTCAGCTGTGTTTTGCACATGGCTATTCCCTGCAGGGCTCTGGCTATGCATTAATGCCATGTGCTCTTCATGAAAGGGGGCAGTTAGAGTGTATTGCTGCTCATCTCAAAGTACACATCACATGTGAGCCAGATCTTGCTGTATTTCTAAGCTATCGTTCCCTTTTCAGGATCCCATTAACTTGTTTTCAATGGGGAATTTGCAGGAGTTGCTCTGGTGAAGTGAGTTTTTCATCCTTCTGTCTCTGCAGGGTAATAGAGATGAGGGGACCTATGTGGATGATGCCCTTGCTCAACAAGATGCTCAGGTGTGTAGCAACTTGCCTCCTTGCAAGAACTGTCTGTTCTTGTACATGTGGTGTGTGGTGAAACCCCTGCTTTCTCTAGACCTCACTTTTATCAAGGTAGAACAGTAAACCTGAAGCACCCACAGCAGTGCCCTAGGTGGAGACCTGGGCTCTGTTCTCAGTTTCGACCCTTAGAGAAGCTGCTTTGCTGTTCTGATTCAGCTGATGAAATGGAGATAATGGTTCTAACCTCCTTTGCAACTCTGTGGTGAGAAGTGTCTACGCAGGCTGGGTTTTTGGGAGGGGAGGTGACATTTCCATTGGGAGATGCTGTGCTTGGTTAATAGTTGTTGAAAGGTATCTGATCTGGACAAGCTTCAGGCCAGCAGTGCTCAAGCACCAGGGATCTCCTCTGTCAAGGTCATCTGCTTCGTTCATGAGGGAAGGGCTGTGGATGTTGTCTGCCTTGACTGTAGTCAAGCCTTTGACACTGTTTCCCAAAGCATTCTCCTGGAGAAGCTGGCTGCTCGTGGCTTGGATGGGTGTGCTGTTCACTGGGTAAACTGGCCTAGGGACACGGTTTAGACGTGGCAGTGTCAGGTTAATGGTCTTTCTGGCCTCCTCAGTTAGCCTTACTTTGTCTATTCATAATGTCTTCAAGTGCCTGTATGAAGCTGGGGAGCAGAAATGGGGAACAGATGAGGTACAGTTCATGGCCATCCTCTGTACACGGAACAGATACCACCTGCTAAGAGGTAAGATCCTCTGCGGTGTCCTGGACTTTTTTCCTTCTTTGGGGACGATACTTTATACTTACACATGAACTGATTGTGAACTCTTCCTGAGACAGCAGGAACCCAGTTGCATTCAATTGTTTAAGACCATTTTATTCCCTCCTGAGACAAAAAGGGATTGGAGAAAACAATCAGTACAACTGCTCCAACCCATGAAGTGTAGATGATGAAGTGTGACTTCCTCTGGGGCAGAGCATTTAAACTGCCATCACTAACCATCAGTTCTGGAGAATGCTAGCAGCAGTGGTAGGCCAATTAGCAAGACTTGGTAATTAAAATGAGTTATTTCCATGGGACAAGCCCTGATTTAGCTTACAATCTTACAGTAATGGTGCAATGTTCAGTTTGAGCCTGAAGAGCTTGATCTTACAAAGTGATCCTCCATGGGTTACACACTGTATGCCCTGAAGCTCTTTTTGTCACTGACTCTTCCTCCTAGTTTTTGATGCCTACAGAGGAATTGCTAATAAGGACATAACAGAGAGCATTAAATCTGAGATGTCAGGAGACCTGGAAGATGCTTTGTTGGCTGTGGGTGAGTTCCCTGCTTTTAAACTTTGGGTACAAAGTACTTAAATAACCAGAGAAATTGTATCTTGCCCTGGCTGGCTGTTCACATAGCTCCACAAGGCAGATCCATTGGGGGTTTTCTGCAAGCCACAGTGTTTCAATCTTTGCAGATACAGTTGGGTGAGAAAATCCTGTGCCTTATGACATTATTTGCTTTCCCAAGTGATGCTTTGGTATCTGACATTTGCTGTCAGGAAGCATTAAAGCCTTAAAGAAAATATTAGTGGGCATGGAGACATCAATTTATAACAGATCACTGTGGATGTCTGCATTGTACTTGCTGTTTGTTGGCCTTGGGTTGCATCTTTGCAGAATAAACACCTGCACTGAGAAAGCACCGTAAAGGTTTGGAAGATCCTCTCCTTCTGTCTTTATTGGTATTAATTCTCTTGTTCTCATTTCCTTACAGTAAAGTGCATGCGGAATAAACCTGCATATTTTGCTGAAAGGCTGTATAAATCTATGAAGGTAAAGAGCTTTTGGTGTGAGATTATTATCCCTTCCCTTTGCCTTTCCTTGCTTGAGTCAGTAGCATCACAACAATCATCAGCTGCTAGTGGATCACTCCATTCATGCAAAGATTCTCTAACTAGGAACAGATCCCACAGAAGACCACGTCATAAAACCTTTGTCTGTCACTGATTTATCCAGAATGCTCTGTACTTAGTTGTAAAGTTGGTTTATTCCTTTAGGGCTTGGGAACAGACGACAACACACTGATCCGAGTGATGGTGTCCCGCTCTGAAATAGATATGCTGGATATCAGAAGGGAATTCCTGACCATGTATGGGAAATCACTCTACTCCTTCATTAAGGTGAGCTTTCCAGTGTTGGAAACAAGGAGCTGGATTTGCTAAACAGCTTGAAGGAGGCAGGTCCCTGCTTGACATCTGTTGGGTGTTTTAGAGGAGGTGGAATTAAGGAGACTTTACATTTATGTACTGAAAATGTTCCTGAATGTTCTTAAATGCCAAAGAGGGACAAACCCTACAACAATCACATGTGCTGGGAAGACTCCAGCCTTGCGTGCAGATGTAAAACTAACCACGTTCCTTTTGCCTTCTCTCTCCAGGGAGACTGCTCAGGAGACTATAGGAAAGTGCTGCTCAGACTCTGTGGTGGGGAGGATTAAAGGATGCCTGGTTACTGTCTGGGTGATGGGAAGGGGCTGATCCTAAGGATTTCTTTCCTGTAATTTTTTCCCAAATATCTTATGAATTGCTATGAGCATTGACTTGGATTAATGTTCTGGTTAGATAATGGCCATTCCAGTTGACCCTTTTATATGCTTTTCTGCTTGGAACACCCATTTGCCTACTACTTGGGCTAGTAAAGCCCATCTTAAACAGAATGCTATCACCCAATATATAGAAGCTGAATCATTTCCTGACAAGCTGTCCCTTTGCTGTTGCAAAACTTAGCAACTGAAGCAAACTTGGATGCAGAATGTGAGAGGCTGCATAAGATAAAATTAACCTCACCAATGGAGAGTGCAGAATGCTTCAGGTTTTGCAAGATAATTAAACCACAACTCAATCATCTAAAATACAAGCATGTTTAGGTCTTAACTTGCCCTGTTAGTGTGGGGCATTGTGCACTTAATGTCTATGTTGCCTGTGGATCTATAGGAAAGGAAGATGTCACTGGTGATATCTCTTGCTGCCCTGATTTTGCAGCAGCCCCGTGTTCTTGGCTTGTGGGAGTATAAATCATGAGGGTTCTGTTACAGACCCTTCCTCTGGATAAAGTGATGTCGTTAGAATGGTGCCTTTTAAGGAACAATTCGTCCCCAAAAACCTCATCAGCACTCTCTGGTGCCTTAGAGGAGGTGCCTTGTCCTGGTTGGAGCCCTGTGTGAAGCTGTTCTTAGAGGGTCCTGTTTTCTATCTCCAGGCCAGCCTCTGGAAGAGGCTTTTCCCTCAGACCCTACACACCTGCCTGTTAAGCTGAGCATTGTTTTCACTGCAAAAATGTGCTTCTTGCTTGGCTTAGCAATTCAAGTATCTATTTTTAGCTGTTGGTAAATAACCCTGTTTTGAAGGCATCAGACAGCACTTGGAATTCAAAGGTACAAATACTGGCATGGCCTACACTCAACTGGGACACATTCTCTTCTAAACTTAAGCTGCTTTCGGCTTGAATACAAGATAACTGCTGTGGCCTCAAAATCATTTTCTTCCTTTCTGTGCTGGAACTGGAGACACATTCCTCAGTTTTGGTGGGAGTGGAGGCAGAGCTTTTTCCAGTGCAACTCTTCCCAGTTCCACGTGAAGCTCGGTGAAAGAAGAATTGTCTTACCCAGTGCTTACCAGATGCACTCAGGCTTGTGTTTGTGCTTAAATGCCTTATGTTATGTTGCTGAGTTTTTAATAAAGAATAAATAATGTGTTTCTGTACTTACTGCCGTGGTTGTGCACGCCGCGGGGTGATGGGGACGTAACCACAGTCAACAACTTCTGTGCTCTGCAGGTACTTTCCTGGCCTCAAGCTGTGCTGGGGGAGGTTTAGGTTGGATATTGGGAACAATTCCTTCACCAACTGCGGGACTAGGTGCTGGAACAGGCTGGGTCAATGGGCTGAAGCCGGTGTTACGAGGTTCAACAAGGCTCAGTGCCAGGTCCTGCGCTTGGGGACAGCCCCCTGCAGTGTTCCAGGCTTGGGGAAGAGCAGCTGGAAAC